TCCTTGAGTAGCTTTTTCTGCACAGCTCATCGTTTCTGCCCATTCTAAACACATTCCAACCATCAAAATTATACCAGGACACTTCGTTTTTCTAACCCTAACCCCGTGATGGCGAACCTTTTAGTGACTGAGTTATCTGGACCCATTTCAGTCCAGTTTCAGACCTGGGTACGGCACTGAATCTGCCTTGGTCGCCCTGTACGATGACCTGTGCAGGGAGAAGGACAGGGGGAGTGCGTCCCTGTTAGTTCTTCTGCACCTCTCAGCGGCTTTCATTACCATTGACCACGGTATCCTTCTGGAGAGGCTAAGGGGACTGGGAGTAGGAGGCACTGCTTGGCAGTGGTTCCACTCCTACCTTGACGGCCGATTCCAGAAGGTGGTGCTGGGGGCCTGTGGCTCTGCGCCATGGCGGCTATGCCATGGAGTACCGCAGGGGTTCATTTTGTCCCCCTTGCTATTCAACATCTACATGAAATCGCTGGGAGAGGTCATCAGGAGGTGTGGACTGCGGAATCATCAGTACGCGGATGATACCCAGCTCTACCTCTCGTTTTCCACCAATCCAGGTGAGGCAGTGGCTGTGCTGAACCGGTGCCTGGCCGAGGTAATGGGCTGGATGAGGGCCAATAAACTGAAGCTCAGTCCAGATAAGACGGAGGTCCTGTTGGTGGGTGATTTGAGTTTCCGGGTAAGGGCCCTGCCCTGGACGGGGCTGCACTCCCTCTGAAGGACAGGGTCCGCAGCTTGGGTGTGCTCCCAACCCGGAGCTGTCCTTGGAAGCTCAAGTGACTGCGGTGGCAAGGAGCGCTTTCCTTCAGCTCCAGCTGATCCACCAGCTGCGTGTTTACCTGGAGGAGAACTGCCTGGCAACTGTGACACATGCACTGGTTACCTCCCATTTGAACTACTGCAATGCACTCTACGTGGGGCTGCCCTTGAAGACAGTCCAGATACTTCAGATGGTACAAAATAGAGCTGCCAGGATGCTGTTGGGGACTGGGCGTTACTCTCATATAACCCCAGTCTTCTACCAGCTCCATTGGCTTCCCATCGGAGTCCGGGCTCAATTCAAGGTGCTGGTTATTGCCTATAAAGCCCTAAACGGCTTCGGACCAGGATACCTGAAGGAACGCCTTTTTCCCTACATGCCCTTCCACCCCGAGATTGGCAGCAGAGGCCCTCTGGGAACCCTCTTTGAAAGAGGTCAGGAGACAGAGTACCCGGAGCAGGGCCTTCTCTGCGGTGGCGCCCCAACTGCGGAATGTGCTCCCTAGAGAGGTCTGCCTGGCACTGTCAATTATATGCTTTTTGTCTCCAGGTTAAGACCTTTTTATTTAACCAATATTTTAAAGTTAATTAATGTTAATTGTATATTTATTCATTTAATGCATTTCAACCATGTTATTTTACACTCAGTTGTGGTGTAGCCAATTTATTTGTTTAGGAGTGGATCCTGTAAAAGGTAAAGGTTTCCCCTTGACATGAAGTCCAGTCATGCCTGACTCTAGGGGGCAGTGCTCATCTCCGTTTCCTGGCCGAGGGAGCCAGTGTTTGTCCGCAGACAGTCTCCACGGTCATGTGACCGGCATGACTAAACACTGAGGTGCACGGAACGCTGTTACCTGCCCACTGAAGTGGTACCTTTTTATCTACTTGCATTTGCATGCTTTCGAACTGAAAGGTGGGCAAGAGCTGGGACGGAGGAACGGGAACTCACCCCATTGTGCAGATTCGAACCGGCGACCTTTCGATCTACCAGCCCAGCAGCACGGCAGTTTAAACCACTGCGCCACCTGCATCCCTTATTTGGGGTTTTAATGTTTGTAAACCACCCAGAGAGCCCTCTGGGCTATTGGGGTGGTGCATAAATGCAATAAATGAAATGAAAATGAGTGCCCAAGCTGCAACCCAAGCCCCACTTATTTATCGCAAAGGGCCAACACTGCAATGAAACTGAAAACTGAGGTTTCAGTTTAAAAAAACAACTCACAGCCAGTCCAAGCAATAGATATATCCTTGGCAGCGCACTGACCAGCTGTGGGAAAGCTCGGACGAGTCGTGACGAATGCGTCGCGCCTTGTGATGTCGTGGCCTGGTGCCACTATTCCTTCCCAAGGACGTGCACGGGCCCAATGTGCGCTGTTCTCCGACGCTCGGCCGCTTGGGCCGTGCTGGAGCGACGTGGCTCGCGTGCCAACGGAGAGGGCTCTGCGTGCCCGCTGCAGCACACACACCACAGGTTCGCCACCAGTGCCCCAGGGCGTGGAACGGGCTCCCACGGGAGGTGGTCGAGGCCCCATCGGTGAGGGTGTTGAAGGACAGGCTGGACGTGCACATGGAGGGCACGCCGTGAGCGGAGCCGGCTGGAGCCGGGGGTCAGACTAGATGGCCCGGGAGACCCCTCCCGACTCGCTCTTTTTCCATGTTTCTAAAGCCTTCTGTGACAAAAATGCTCCTCCAGACAGATTACAGAGTAAGCTTAGCACCAAATGACCCTAGATTTCCTTATTCCTATCAACTCCTGGAGTAGATAAAGCGCACAGTCATGTTCAATTTAAAGCATGGATACACAAAATTACTCATCGCTCAGAAAGCTATCCACTCCAAAGCTGAGCAGATGTGGGACTGGAGGCCAAGCGCACTCCTCTGGTGGTTAACCTCTGGCAGAGAAAGCACCTTCCATTACACCTCCGAGGCACCTGCGCCTGCATCCGTTTGGGAGGCTTCCCACCTTGATGTAGCCAAGTGCGAATCAAGCATTAGTGAACCGTGTGGATACGGCGACATGAGCACCAACTACCATGCAGGAAATGAAGCCGGGGAGCAGCAGCGCTCCTGCAGAGAGCTCCGTGCCCCCAGCACTTTCCCAGGATGATGCTGGCAGTGAGCTGCTCCACTAGCTGGCTTGTTTAGCCACGTCACTTATCCTGGAAGCCTTCCTAAGGGAGTGAAACTCGGCACGGCTGACCCATCCTTTGAAAAGGGAAGCTGAGGGGACCCTAGAAATTACAGGCCCATCAGCTTAACTGACCTCCCAGCAAGCAAGTACACTAAGCTTCTTTTCCGGAAATTAGAGGACTGGGCTCAACGAAACTCCATCTTAGCAGAACGGCAGGTCAACTTCGCGCAGGGAAGGCCTGCCACTGATAACTGTTTAATCCTGCCTCACTTGGTATCAAAACAGACTGCAAACAGTACGTCGCGCCACACTGCTTCCATTGATTTAAGTGCTGCCTTTGATTTGCCGAAGGGAAAGCTTCTTTGGGGGGAACGGCTGGAAGCAGGTAGAGCTCAGAGACTGTGGTGCCTTGTAAAGGTGGTTTATAGAGATAAGTTTAAAGGTTTGAACTGTTGTAAACCAGCAAGGCACTCACAGATGAAGGGGGTCAACAGGGCACTGTTCTAGTTCCTTTTTAAACTTGATGATGTAGCTTCTTCTGTTCATAGCAAAAATTTCTGTATGCCAAAGGTCCTGGACAGATCAGTTAATATCCTTCTGTATATAGATGCCATAACATAGAAACAGAGCGAGTCAGAAGGGGTCACCTGGGCCATCTAGTCTGACCCCAGCTTCAGCCGGCTCTTCTCATGACATGCCCACCATGGGCATGTCTAGCTTAGCCTTGGCCACCCTCACTGGTGGGGCTTCAAGCACCTCCTGTCCCATTCCATTAGTTACTGATTAAGTGTAATGCCTACAGTCGGAAAACCGTTTATTAATTAACAGTACAAAATTAAAAGTGCTGATCTTTGGTGAGAAAAGAAATGACAGAAGAGGTTTTTAGACTCTGATGAATCAGAGCAGGTGGGGTCACTTACTTCCTTAAACATTGTCGCTTCATCTGTGGGAATGTGGACATCACAAGCCACACAGTATGAGCTGAACGTGCCTGCCCTGTGGGCAAACTCTGGACAGGCTCTTGAAACATCCAGGCTGGGAATGGGTGTTTAAGGCAAAGGTGCTGCCAGTACAGAGCTCTGGTGCAGACATTTGGGGGTTTAACAAAATAACAACAACAGAACTGAAAGGGTCCAGAACTGTTTTCATATTCCATTTTAGATGTGTTGAGATTCACAGCAGTTCATACAATCACAACTAAAGCTGGATTACAGGCAGTCTCAGACCTGATGCATCATAGGGTATCTGACTAGTGATGAGAGAGCTGGATCAAACGAGTGAGTCGGGCTCCCAAGGAAATGCTTAAACAGACAGATGGCCAAACCTTGGAAAAATCTCTTCTACCATTTTTCAGTTGCTTTTTTTTTTATTAAGCTATGGTTTTACTCTGGAGACTCCAAGTACTTCTAGTCCTATTATAAAATGTTTTAAACAAAGATTACAAGGCACTAGAGAGCAGGTGGACGTGGCTGCTCTGTCAAACACCAGGTCTGTGAAATGGCTATTGAGGGTACCGCGCAGCTGCAGGAAGACAAGGATCTCTTTTTCCCAACGAAAAGGGGTTGGCGCTAAGGCCTTTGCCTGCCTGCAAGTCAAGCAAACGGACAGGAGAACACAGCAAGATTGATTCTGAGGTGCACTAAAGCCAGACGTGCTCCATATACGTGATGCCCCAGGAGCGGACGCTTCGGCCCACTGCAGGAACGCCCATTATAGTCCCGCTGGAGGGAGCACTATCCCAGTTTTTTGGCCACGTGAGAAATCGGGAGATTGCGCACAGGTGGAATTCTCTCTTACAAGGATTTGTGACTTGGCAGGCTGTCCTCTTTGCAGTTAAGGCAGACAGTCTCTTTTCCTCTATTCTTTATTTTAAACATTCAATGTGTATTCTCATTCCTTATCCAACTGCCTTTTAATCTATTTTGTTAGTCACAAAGGGGAAAGGCAGAGGTGCTTTAAAGAAACAAATGCCCATTTCAGAAGTAACACGCAGACCATGCTTGGCCGTGCCAGTTTGCTCTCCGACCCACTCCTCCTCACCCAGGAGCACCAGACAACACACAGCCAGAGAAATGCTTTCACAAAGGGGGGCCCTTACCTCAATCTGAAGGAGTTCTCGGCGGTAGTTCTTCGTGATGTTTCGGATCTGCTCCTCCATCCGTTCCAGCAGCAGGTTGATGTCTTCTGCCTGCCTCCGGAGATCCTTCACATACTGGTCATCTTTGCTCTTCAGCTCCTGGGAACAAAACCAGACAAGAATGTCCGGTAAACACTTTTCTTTGGGGTATGCCAATCCAAAGTTCCTCATTTTCAGAAGTCTGAGCTGACCATCAGACAACAATCCACTGGCTGAGGGTAAGCCCTCTCTGGCAGCCCTTGGCTCCCCACTCCGAAAGCACAGCAAGGCAGCCCTGTCCGAGCTGAAATCAGTCATTCTTCCCTTCCCACAGAGCCTGCCGGCACATCTGGCCCTCCCCAGAGTCGCCACCCTGTAACACTGCGTGACCCTTTCCGGCAGCAGCACCCAGGTCTGGAATTCCCTCCCAGAGAGGCCTGCCATGCAAGCAACGCTGTGGTCCTTTGGTCTCAGATGAAAACCTTGGTAAGTCTCCCAGTTTCTCGACCTTGGGCACCAATCCTACTGGTTTTATTTGGATGACTTTTACCTTGTTTTCAATGTTATGCTTATCTTGCCTTTTTGTATTTTACAGATTTACATGTTTTTCTGAAGAGACTCTTTGCTAATGAGTGGGAAGCAAGTATGTACATAAGTGAGGCAATACTGGCCAGCCAAGAGTCAATGTTTATTTATTTTTATTTATTTTTATTATATTATATTTATTTATTTAGTAAACTTATATGCCGCCCCATTTGCCAAAGCCTCAGGGCAGCTTACAACCACAAATAAATAAATATCATTAATACAATTATATAAAGTCAGAGACATCCTGGCCAAAGATATAAAATCTATAAATAACAATTAAAATGACGTTTACATAAAAAGGTCTTGGCCTGGCGCTGAAAAGCAAATAAGGACGGCGCCAGGCGGACCTCTCTGGGGAGCGCATTCCATAAGTTGGGCGCCACCTCAGAGAAAGCCCTCCTCTGGGTACTCACCCTCCTAATGTCCTTCACGGAGGGCTCCCGGAGAAGGGCCTCTCCCGCAGATCTCAGGGGGCAGGCGGGCATATATGGACGTAAGCGCTCCTTCAGGTATCCAGGTCCCAAGCCGTTTAGGGCTTTGTAGGTGATAACCAGCACCTTGAATTGAGCCCGGACTTCGATGGGGAGCCAGTGAAGCTGACGGAGGACTGGAGTCATGTGAACATAACGACCAGTCCCCGTCAGCAGCCTGGCAGCTCTACTTTGCACCATTGGAAGTATCCGGACCGTCTTCAGGGGCAGCCCCAGGTAGAGCGCTTTTAGGGCCCAGCAGGGTCTCCCAGCATGACTCCAGAGCTCCAGCCACCACATCACTCCACCCTGGCCCACGCCATGGACACACAGAGGCGTCCGTCTGGGAGTGGGGCCCCTGCTCCGGAGTGCCGCTTGCTCCCAGCAAGTGAGGCCAGCCCTTCTACAGCAGGCACCCTGTCGTCAATTTAAAGTGCCTTGGGGTTTTCAAGTATTTGAAAGACGGTGCTAACTGCTGTGAGTGATGGGATTTTATTCCTCCTTTGGTACCTATGCTATCCAAATGGTTCCATCATGCATTCTCTGCCTGCATGTGTCAACCTGAGCACCGAGGACTGACTGTTATCAGTACGTTAAACTTAAAAACAGGCACAGTTAAAGCAGCAGCTGCGTCAGCACGGTCAACTCAGGGACGAACCCCGTGTTTCAAAGAGACCGAGGCAGCGGAGTGTTCGGCCTGCTCCTCCCTGCCCCTCGGGAACAGGCCCCGCTGCAAGCGGCTGCCCCCGGCCCGGCCCGGCCCCCACCTGCTGCAGCTCGCTGATGAGCTTGTTCTTCTCCTCGATCAGCAGGGCACACTGCAGCTGCTGCTGGCTGAGCGCCTCCCAGAGCTCCTGGGGGATGACCTTCTGCTTGGCGCCAGCCCACTTGGCCGTGATCTCGTCGAACTTGTCCTGGTTGGCCCTGGCCTCGTTCTCCAGCTTCTCAATCCTGCAGGCAACCACACCGAGGGAGTTTCTTCGCAGCAGGCCTCTGTGCCCCTCTCAACGTGTCCTACCTTAAAGCCCTGAGGAGCGCTGCGGATCTTGGCAGACCTTGGCAATGATCTGCAGGGATCTCCGTAACAAATTACCCTTTGATCTCCATCCTTGCTACAAACAACTCGGGCAGGTCCCAACGCAGGGTTTCCCGAGGGCTTGTTCATACGTATGCTGAGCAACCCCTCCTGGCCCTGGCAGTCCAACCAGCAGGCTGGAGACTGGCAAGGACTGCGTGACCGGCGCAGCCCGGAAGGGGGGTGCGGTGCAGTCCTGCCACTGACAGGGGCCCCATTTGGAAGACTTTCCCTCCACAACCTCCCCTTAGCAAAATAGTGTTAAATCAGCAATGAGTGGAAATGCTATTGCGGGGGCCACATCCTGTCCGGAGCAAGGAAATCCCAGAAGCCGCCCTCATCAACACGAGAACTGCTGGAGGGCAGACCCGGTGCATGGAAACCGCACGTCGCCACACAGCGCGATGGACACCTCTAGAGGAGACAGCTGCAGGTGCTCTGCGCGGGCTCCGTTCCAGAGTTCCCGCCCTGGGAGTGCAGGGCAACCGTCCGAGGCAGGTAACTTTGGGGTGCTGCTGGGAAGGACAAACTTCAGCCTAACCTACCTCACAGGGGTGCTGTGAAGACATACAGCGGCGCCTCGGCTCACGGACTCCATCCGTCCCAGGACTCTGGTCGCACCCCAAATTGGCCGTGAGCCAAGTCAAATTTCCCCATAAGGGTCAATGTAAATAAGGTTAGTCCGTTCTGTAACTATTTTTTTCTTAAATCACAAAAACTTGAAGCAGGCACACTTGGGTGGGGGGATAAGATCGGCACGATTGTGGGTGCGATCACAGGCGCGCTGGGAGGGAAGGCAGGTGTGATTGCGATTGTCACCCGATGCGGTCACGAGCCGAGGCAAACATTTTTAGAAAAAAATTCTGTTCGCAACCCAATTTGGTCGTGAACTGATGCGTTCGTGAGTTGAGGTACCGCTGTAATGGGAAAATATATACCCTGAAGAAAAGTGAGAAAGAAATGCTAATGTGAAGAAAAATGCAGCAGTCACCTGATTCAGACTCAAACTGCTTCATGTGTTCACATCAGGGCTGGGATGCGCCCAACTGGCACCTGTCCCTCCAGCAGGTGTGGCCTTCCTCTGGTGCCTGGTCAGACTTGGGGAGCAAGCCTAGAGCAAGTCTGCCAACACTTGTGGGGTGAAGGACGCACAACTCGTAACCTTCCTCCATGTCAGGTCGAGCAGCTCAAACAGCTGCTGTGGGTGGTGCAGAAAATGGCCGTTGCTTGCACAGCACTGGGAACATGTAGCAGGAACACAGACTCGTTGCAGAGAGACTGGAGTCTGGCAAGCTGACGGATTCCTCACCCATCTCCAGCTCGTATATTATTTGTGAGGAAACATGCAGCTCACCCAGGATCAGGCCAGCAGCTGTCACGGATGAGTCCTTGTCCTCAAAGTTAGGATCTCACAGAATCATCCAGAAGCCACCTGAAGTGCCAAGCCTGGCTGCCTCCCTTGCACATTTCCCACAATTCCAAGGGACATTTAGGCTTAGCACTGACCTCTGCCGAGTCAATTCCTCTTCCTCTGCCCTCCTCTGTGTCTCCCGAGAATCAGCTGCCACCTGGATGTTTGTCACTAGCTGTGTGCCATCGATGAGCAGCTTGGCCAGTCTCTGAGCAGAAAGAATGTGTCAGTGCCCATCAGTTTAAGCTAATAAAAGCAACGAATCAATGAAGCAGTATCTTTTTCTGCAACGACGAAGGGTCCGGTAGCCTTTCAAAATTCACTGATGGCTGTGAGCAAGTGCCGCTTGCCAAAGCTGGCTGGTTCTGGCAAGTTTGCAAACCTGCAACTAAGCAAGGGATTGGGGGGGGGGGGTCTATGGTTGCCAAATTAGGGGCTGTACGGATAAGCTATGGGAATGGGACTAAAGACCCTTAAGTCTGATCCCCTCCTGAAAGGAAAGAGACATTCGCACGGTTATTGCTAACACCTCCAGCTGAAGCTCCTCACCTGCCCCCCGGCTGCAAAAGGCATTCCTGGTACGGTAGCTGTTACTGCCAAGCAAGAACTGCACTTCTTCCTTGTAACTAATCGATTTATTACGAACTTGATGGCTTTTACTATGTATCCTATCTTTCTGAAGCTCTCTAGAATTTTCTTTATATAAACATTACAGACAGAAAGCTAATTTTATCACACTGTTACAAAATATTCCAAGTGTCATGTATTTGGAAAACTGGAGTACAAATCAAATTGGTCTTGTTCGTGGTACCATCCCTGGTTTTTATGTACCACAGAAAAAGGGCCCTAGCACAGAAAATGACTGCTACAAGCTGGAGGGAAATGCTACCTCAATGCATAACTATGTGCTAACACTACTACCACATTGCTCTTCGTCCTGTCTGCTTTTTCACTTAATGCCCAAGTACTATGAGCACTTTTTGCCTACAAAAAGGCCTACAACTCCCAGCATGCCGCAGCCAGCATTGCTGAGCTTGTGTAGGATAGTACCTTTAATTAACCAAAAGAAAAGGTGCTTTACAATGTTCAACCAGGGGTTTGCGGCTGGACTTTTCCAACTCCAGCATTCTCTGTCAGTTACACAACAGCTTCAGTTGTGCGTCTGTTGCGGCACCTACCACTGACAGCCACCCACACCACTTAGCCTTAGTGAGGCACCTGTTAAGAGCGTGGCCCTTAACTGCTGTATCCTGCGGACCCAGAATGAACACGGAGGGCAAAACATGCGTAACACAGGTGTCTCCTGTTCAGGCACAGATTAATGAGGCCGCCGCATGGCGGGATGCGCAGAAAGGGCTGCTCCCCCAGTCCGGGCTCAGCCAACCTGTCTGCTGTCCTCTATCTGCTTGTGGCTCCTGCTCTGCTCCTCCTCCACAAGCTTCTTTGCATCGGGATCTTCCGCAAGGGCTTCCCTGGAAAGAAGGATCAGCGACGTTCACCCCTGGCCAAGGCACCCCTTGCCTCCCCGGTGCGACGCGGAGGCCACGCACTGGCTCTGCGGACCACCGGGGCAAAGCTCTGCAGGGTGACAACCAGGAGGAGGTGGGGGATGTTTCCGCCGGGGGCCCTGAGCGGGCGCCCCCGAAGTGCAGGGCACGGCGTCAGCCGGAGGAAGAGAGAAGCCCCCAGCCTTCTGCGGAAGCGCCAAGGGGGGCGCAGCTGGGGACCTGCCACTAGAGCCGGGGGGGGGGGGCAGGGGAGCCGCGCTCTGGGGGGCGCCGGGCCGCATCCACGAGGTTCTGCAGCCCTTGCGCCGGCGCCCCCCCCCCCCGCGCCCGCGGCGGGCCAGCTGCCTCCAGGCCGTTCCCCGCGGCACCCGCTTCCCGCCCCGCGCCGGGTGCCCGCTCCTCCTCCGCCCGGCCCGGCTCGGCTCCAGGGGGAAGCGGGCAACTCGGCCGTCCGTCCGTCCCCGGGGCTCCCGGGCCCGGCTGCGCCCCTGGGCCCCCGGCGGGGCGCGCCGGACCTGCGCTTGGCCTCCAGGCGCGCGGCGATGCGGATGCGGCGCGCGGCGATGCGCTCCTGCGGGTCGTCGGAGGAGACGTTCGGGGGCCTGGCCCGGGCGCCGCCGCCGCCGCCCTCCGGCTCCGCGTCAGCCTCGGGCCCCGCTTCGCCCTCGGCGGCGGCCATCGCGGAGGCTCCGCCGAGGGCCGCGGCAACGCGTCGCTAGGCGACCGGCGCCGCCTCGGCTCCCCGCGCGCATGCGCGGCGACGGCGTTGCCTGGCGACGAAGGCGCGGGGACGGCCGGCTTCTACGCATGCCTACCACGGTCGTGTTGCCTCTTTCCCTCTCCCGCCCTCCATTTCCACATAGAGCCAGAAAGTGAAGAGGTGGGCGCCTGCTCGGGCGTGGTGTTTTTACTGGGGGCAGGGGCGCCCCGCATTTCCAGACAAAGGGACAGCGGGCTTGCGGGGAAGAGTGTTCATGTAAATCGACCAAGCTCTCCTGCAAGCTCTCCTGCAAGCTCTCTCCGCTTACGTCCGTATATGCCCGACTGCCCTTTGAGATCTGCGGGAGAGTCCTTTCTCTGGGAACCCTCCGTGAAGGAAATTAGGAGAGTAAGTACTCGGAGAAGGGCTTTCTCTGCGGTGGCGCCCAACCTATGGAATTCACTCCCCAAAGAGGTCCGCCTGGCACCGTCGTTACTGGTTTTTCGGCGCCAGGTAAAGACCTTTTTATTTAAACATCATTTTAATTGTTAAAACATATGATCTGGCCAGGGCAACTTCTTCTTCCTTCTCTTTTCTCCTCCTATATTATTTATTTACTTATTTTATACTGATAATTTTAATTTTATATTACTATGTTTGTAACTCAATGTATTTTTGTATTTAATGGTAATTTATTATGTTCTATTGTATTTCAATGTATTTTATTGTGTTGTAAGCCGCCCCGAGGCTTCGGCAAGGGGTGGCATAGAAATGTTATTATAATAATTATAATAATAATAATAGCGGGAGTTTTATTTCTTTCTCAGTATCTTGCCAGCAGTGTGGACAGTGCTTTAGAGAGGAAAGCAGGTCCCTGCCCCAAGGAGCTTGCAATCTCTGGTGCGATGCAGTGGACACCATAGGGAAACGGAGGCGGATAAGGCTGTTGGTGGCTACGAAGCCTACCGCAAATGCTACCTCTGCCTGCCGATGACTGCCCCAAGCCCTCCCGGTGGGCTTCCTGCTGGGCAGCTCTAAGTGGCTGGCCGGACTGGGTGGACGCTGGGCTTGATCCATCGCCCGTGCCCCTCTTGGGCCTTAAAGCAGCTCGCTAGAGGGTGCCAGGCCTGGGCTTTTGCCCGCAGCCAGCCACGGCGCCCCCTGGCCGCCTTGGGCCAGCCGCAGCCTCTCAGCCTGGCCGACCTCGCAGGGTGGTGGTGGTGAGGCTGTCTGGGCCCCAGTGCCGCCCCGGGGCTGCTCAGCTGGCCTTCTGGCACCTCTGCAGGCAGGCCTGTGCGAGGCCTCCTGGCTGGGAAGATGGGCAAAGGGTTAGGTTTTGGGCTCGCTGGCGGCTCGCCTGCCAGACGGAGGCCGGGCTTGTCCTGCTGTGGCAGAGGCACGGCCTTGCTCGTGCCCCATGGCCCTCAGCTGGTGGAGGACTGGTGGGGCTGACGCGAGCCCACGGCGAAACGAGCATTTTGCCAATCGCCGAGTTGGGCCTGACGTGACCCTAAGGCGAACCGAGCGGTTCTCCAGGTGACTTTGGAGTCGGTGCCCCCATTGACCTACGCTTTGTGGGAAAGCGTGGCGGGCATCTGGGGTGGGCGCGTGGCCCAGCCCCTCTTCAGGCGGCCTTCTCAGGCCAAGGGATCCGTCCATCTGCCTGGAGGCACGTGGCTTTGCTTGGCCTTCCAGAAAGCCTTGGCCCCCCGCCCAGGGCAGCGGGGAGGCAGAGCGGCGCCTGCGTGAGCTGCTCGGCTTCCTGCAAAGAGGACCGCGGCAGGGTGTAAATGCAATGAATAAGAAGGCCACCTGGCTACACAGCGGAGGATGCGGTTTGAGGGCACTGCATCCCGGACTGGCCGGGGCTGCTGGGAACTGCTGTCCGATGCATCTGAAGGGGATCGAGCCGGGGAAGGCACACCTCCCAGGCAGACACGCGCAGCCCGCAAGGAGCTTGCGCTGGCCCATCGAAGGCGCCTCATCTTCCCAAAGCAGAGGGGGTTCGGCTTGGGGGTTCGACTCCAGAGCAGAATCCCGGAAGGAGGCAAATCTGCAGACTGGCCGTGATGCTGCAGAACCGAACGTCCTCGGAAGCGCCCGTGGGACCGGAGCCGTTCAGAGGGAGTGGCGGTTTTCCGCGGCTCCCCCTTCCGTTTCCTTTGTCTGCTCCGAGGGGTCCCCTCCCTCCCATGCAGCCTCTTTGGGGCAGCTTCTGCTCCTATGAGCCCCCTCCCTGCACTCTTTCTCTTCCAGGGCTGAGGATGGTCCGTGGTGGTCCTGGGCGGGGAAGGCTCAGCCAGAGGCGGCTGCCCGGCATGGGAGCAGAGGGCTGGTCGGTCCGGCGAGGAGCCCGGCGCTGGCGTGGGCGTGGGGCCGGCTGGTCTCCGGCCGCCTTGTCGTGCCCAGTGTGATGTCACGCAGAACTAGAACAGGTTGCCAGGCGCCTCCTCAGATCCCTCGAGGGTTTCGACGCGGCGCCTTCAGTGCATCGTTTCTCTGCGAAACCGGAGGACTTTTGGCACGACCTGGACCAGGAGCCACCTGGGGTAGCCACTTTCTGTTGTGACTTCTTCCTTCTCTCCTTCTGCGTGGCGGGAGCGCTCGTTGCCGGGGTCTTGCACCCCAAGCCACAGACGGCGAGCTAATGCGGCTCACGAGCACCCTCAGGCGAACGAGCCCCTTGGTTCCCATTCAAAACAGGGCTGGAGCCAGGCGGGCCTCCCTGGACACGCAGTCCCGGGACGGGACGGGGCCGCCACTGGGAAGCCCGTCCTCCCTCGGCAGATCCTCATGTCTGGGGGGGTTCAGGTCAGGAGAGGCAGGAAGAAGGCAGGAGAGGCAGGATGTGGCGTGGGCAGCTAAGCTGGGCGGCGTGGGTTGCAGCTCTGGGGGTCGGTGAGCTGAGACGGGCAGACTCCCTCGGCAGGCGGGCAGCAGGGCTGGGGAAACCAGGCAGCCCCCCAGCTCGCCTCTGAGCCAGGCTGGACCGGTCGCCTCCCGGGGGTCCGTGGTGAAGTCTGAGCCCTCTGCCGAGCCCATCCACCTGCCTGCCTTCACCTGGCTGCTTCCCTCCGGCCCTTTCCCATGAACCTGCCTGCTGACCTGTAACTGTCCAGGAGAGAGGGCTTCGCCCCCCGCCCCCCGATGGCTGGCGTACCAGGCCAAGTCCAATTCCTGGTTTCCCTGATGCCTGCTGTGGGCGGGGGGAGAAAAAAGACCCCCCTTCCTCCATTCAGCCCCTGGTGGAACAGGTGAATGGGTGGGAGGGAGCAGGCGATGGTTTGACAGAATCCAGGTGGGTCTTTTCTCAGCTGGAAGGAAAATCTGAGAACCTTCCAGGTCATAATGCTCATCACACCTGAGGAAGCATGATGCCCCCCCCCCCCCCGAGCCTTGTCTTTTGTGAGCCACGAAGTGCCGCTGTTTCCTCCACAACCCGGGCTTCAGCACATCTGCCCCGGGGGGTCCGTCACGATTTTGCCCCATTGAGCACAGGGTTAGCAAGTTCAGCATGGCATTAATTCTCCCACTGCAACCAAAGGCGCATCCCCATGCTTGAATTTCATGGCATTCTGTGCATAAACACCCACAAGCGTTACACATTTCCCTGCGAAATGCTTTTAATCTAACAGTCTTGGGGGTAAAGCAGGCCTAGTCCTCTGCTATTCTGTGTCATCATCTCCAACTTGTGGGCGACCCCCGAAATGAAAGCCCCCAGAATGACCTGTCCACACCCTCCCTGCTTAGTGGTTCTAAATTCAAGGCTGCGTCTTCCTTTATCCACGTCAATCCGTCATTCATGCATTCATTTTTCGATGTATATCCTGCCTTTTTCCTACAAAGGGCTCAAGGCAGCTTACATCCTCCTCCTCCTCCATCTTATCTCCACAACAACCACCCTGTGAGGTAGGCTGGGCTGAGAGTCTGTGACTGGCCCAGAGTCACCCGGTTGGCTCCATGGCTGAGCGGGGACTTGAACCCGGATCGCCTGAGTCCCAGTCTCACACTCTAACCGCTACGCCACACTGCCCCTCGATACGGTCCTCCTTTGCACCTCCTCCTCCTCCCTTTGGGTCTCCTCGCGTGATTGTCTTCTCCAGAGAGTCTGGCCCTTTCATGATTTGCACCCAGTGCCACAGTTCTGGTTCTCCCAAACTCCTTGCTTCAAGATCCAGCCGCTCCTCCTGCATAGAACCAACTCATGCCCCAAGCGCCCGCGTGTGCCTGGAAAGTGGATTCACGGAGGTGCTGGCAAAGGGTCAGAGGAAAAGTAACGGCCCCCACCATACGGTCCTGCCTGAAGTGGCAGCTGCATCCTTCGTGGGCAAGTACCCATGACGGCTTCCCCAGCGGGGTATTTGGGACAAAGGGAACTTCACTGTACTCCAGCCTAAAGGGCTCTGGGTCCCAATTCTGCCATGGAGAGAGACAGAAACCAGATGTTCTGATCTAGACTGGCAGGAAACGAAATGTGCAGAAAATGGAGGGGGGGTCTGGCAGAAGTGGGCAACTTGGGGTGTGGCACATGGGTTGGCCTTTGATTCCCATGATCCCTTCACCTTGCTGTGCTGGCTGGGGTCGATGGGAGTTGCTCGCACGTTGCTCACTCCCCTCCCTACAGTTTAGGCCAGTGGTTCAAGCATGAAGCAAATTGCAGGAATGAACTAACGTTACTTGGGATCCATGGGTGGGGAGAGATGGTCAGCAATCCTTACATTCCTAGGGAAATTTCTTGCCCCCCCCGCCCCAAGGCCTACGCTTCCTTGAACGGATCCATGGACCCCTTGCTTGGAAAACTGATGCCGAGCATGCATCCTCTTCTGGAACATTTCTATTTCGGCAGTCTCAGGAGACAGGAGGGCTCGCATGATGGCGACAGGGAAGAAACATAGAAACAGCGCGAGCCAGAAGGGGTCTCCCGGGCCATCTAGTCTGACCCCCGGCTCCAGCTGGCTCTGCTCACGACATGCCCACCA